TGAGGCTTACCATCATATACCAAAGTCAATTCCAGATGTACTAAGCAGTTAAATGTCATGAGTAAAATAAAATCAAAGTATTAAAAATGGAAACTAGAAGAAAACAAAGGTAAGCATAAAAACTCTGGGTCAGAAAAGACTTTCTTAGCTTAAACATTATGTAAAAGATGAGTAAGGAAACGCCTAATTTGACTTTGCTGAACATCTCATTTATAATTTTTTAAATTGTGAGCTTTGAGGGTTCTCCAGCCTCTTGTTGCACAGGACCTGACATTTTACACCTTAGTCCAACCCAACCACTGAAGCTCTCCTAACAGACCTGCTCTCTGGCCTTGTTTGTAGGTGTTTTCTCTGCCTGGAATGCCTTTTCCCACCTTGTCCCTTGTTGCTCCACTAATTTACTCAGCATCAATACTCAGTTCAGAATCATCTCCTCTGTGAAGCCTTTCCTGGCCCCTACGTGAGAATTGACCACTCCCCTCTTTCAGTGCATCCGCTATAGACTGCTCACACTTCTAATGGAAACCCTATTGCACTCATTGCTCACCTGCCTGCCTCCCCTTATTAAACCCTAAGATCATTAAGGGCAGGGACTGCATCTGTGCCGTCCTTGATACTTGACCAGTGCCTGGCACTTTGGGGAGGCTTAGATAAACATGTGTTGAAATGGATGTTGAAGGCAAATTTCAAACTGGGGGAAATATCCACCATAAAGATGACAAGCAATGGGGCACCTGGGTGGCTCAGTCATCAAGCATCTGCCTTTGGCTCAGGTCATGATCCCAGAGTCCTGGGATCGAGCCCTGCATCAGGCTCCCTGCTCAGCGGGAAGCCTGCTTCTCCCTCTCCCAGTCCCTCTGCTTGTGTTCCCTCTCTCGCTGTCTCTCTCTCTGTCAAAAAATAAATAAAATCTTTTTTAAAAAAAGATGACAAATGATAGATTTATATTTTTGTAGAAGGCCCAAACAAATAAAGCATTAACATCTTAAAAGAGAAAGGAACAATTAAGTTCACAGATGAGGGGACGAAAATGGCCAAGTATTGAACCCATCAGTGATCCAATAAATATAAGTTAAAAGTAGGTATCGTTTCATCTATCAATTTAGTCAAAATTTTCCCATTTTAAGACAACCCAGGACTGGCCAGGGTACAGTGAAATAGGTACTCTCTCATACTCTTGGTGTGAGTTGACAGTAGGTATTGAGGACTTGAAATATTTTTATGCCTTTTGAACTAATGATCACCCTTCTGGGGAGAGTTTTGCTCAGAAAATAATGCAAAAGAAAAAGTTCTGCTCAAAATTTTTCATGGCAGTGTGGTTTATAACAACTAACAGCTGGAAACCTAAGTGTCCCAAAAGAGAAAATGTTAAGAAATTGTATTTTCTTAGAATATTATGCAGCCATTAAACATTATCGTGTTTATAAGTAACTTAATGGCATGGACATTTTTATGCTAAAAAGAGAACTGAAAAAAGAAAGAAAAAATTTAAAATTCAGAATGATCTTAAATCCTGGGAAAACTTAAGCACAGAGTGAAGAGTTGAGTATTCCTACAATCACTGTTTCTGATGTTCAGACTTAGTCTCTCAAGTCATGATGAGAAAGAAAAAGCCTGTCATTACAGATGTTGAATGGATTTTCAAATGCTTCAGATTTCACCAGAACAAAGTTTCAGATTTTTGCTTTGGTCTCAAAGATCATGGTCTCATGTCTATAAAAGGAAAGCAATGTTGGAAGACTGGGGAAATGTCCTGAACTGAAATTTTAATAATTACTGAAATTATAGGATACTGAGGTTTTATGAAAGTGGATTCCAAAGACTTCAAAAATGTGAATTAAACTTACTTGTATTTTCCCCTGTCTTTTCCTTAAATTTCAAGCTCTTATACTGAAATGGAACTTGCAAAGTTGAGACAAGTGACTAGAAAATTAGAATAGTCCTCTTCATTTAAATAAAAGGGTCACACATATATTGAATGCATTATTTGCTGATTACCACATATGGTTGTCTGATGTAGTAAAGTGAATTCACAGAATATATTTCCTAAGGAAAAAAAAAAGAGAGGAAAAATACTGGAAGTGTTAATAGTAGTTGTTTCTTGAGGGATGAGCTTCTGGATGCTTTCCCCTCTCTCTCCACCCTTCTATGTCCCTTGCACATAGTGGATGCTCGAAGATATTTGTTGATTAAACAGATTTTCCACATTAAAAAAATTTTACATATGTTAAACTTATTTTAAATAACTAAGTCCATAGTTTACTTGTCAAGTCTAAGAATCTCACAAGACCCTAACCTCACAAGACCCTAATCAATATTCATTCACTGATTTACTCAACAGTTACTATGTACAGTGCGATGCAAGATGCTAAGTAAACATTAGATACCATCTGTCTTCTCTAAGAATTTGCAGTTGACTAATGACGACTTTGGGATCCTCTCTGCATGGTTGTTTTCCTTGTCCTACCATTTCCCCCCACCTACTTTTGAACCTGAAAGTGTCCAGTATATTTCCTCCCCAGAAGTCCAAGGCATAAAGCTGGGCCGATGCCTCCCTAGTGACAACCAGAGTCCCCTCCACTTGCCTTTGTTGAGCCTTTTAATGTCTCTTTTTTTGAAGCTACTGTTTACAGAGTTCTTCTATACAACAGTACTAGGCATTTCTACATCTTCTCTCATTTAACTCTAACAATATTCTTTTTTTTAGAATTTTATATATTTTAATTTGCGTAAGTGATATCTCACTATATAAAAATTTCTCTAACATTGGTTTTTATTTAAACAAAACTTTGTATGTTTAAGATCAATACTATGATGAGACTTGTTCATTTTAATTATTATACAACCTTCTATTGTATGACTACACCATATTCTAATATTTATTCATCTGTTCCTCTATTGATCAACACTCATTTTTTTCCTAATTTTTAACCATTACAAAGTGTGTTCCTATGAATATTACTTATGTGTAATTACTTAAGTCACTTTAAATTTCATATCATATAAATTGAGTTTCTTATACAAGAGTTGGAATGATTGGGTATTTTCTCAAAATTTTGTAGACATAAGGAATAAAGTTTAAGAATCATAGTCATAACATCTATATGATAAGTCTTCGTTTTTTTAGACTTTTTGTGTGTGAGTCATCTTTATTGCATGCAGTAATGGCCAAGGACCATTCCTTCTTCACCTAGAGCAGTTTATTACTTGTTTTATTTCAAGATGTTGTATGTGATCTGTGTAATCTTGATAGTAAAACCTTCTGGTAGCAGTCACATGATGGAGATGATGCTTATTTCTGCAAGTGTCTAAAATTGAAGGGAAAATCCACCTTCCTTCCTGTAGGAATCTGCTGGGTTTGGAAACTCCAAACAGGGTCGTGTTCCAGAGATAAAAATGCTCGGTCACAGGCTGGGTGAGCACAGAGTGTGGCCAGAGACTGGGGAGACGGGAGTGAGTGACTGCTTTTCTTTGGGGGCTCACTGAGGAGTGGGGCCCCAAGTCCTCATCTCCTCCAGGCAGAGATTGGGAGGCCGCCATTTTCACTCTTTTCACTCTCATCCTCCCAACTCTAACAATATTCTTGAAAGCTAGGCATTATTATCTACTTTTTTTATTTTACAGGGAACAAAGAAACAAAGGCACAGGGAGGTTAAGCAAGTTACCCCATGTCACCCAGAGAATGGCAGAGCCAGAATTCAAACCCAAATCATTTTGATACCAAAGGTGGTTCTATTGTTCACTCTGGTGTTTCGAACGTCGAGGATCTGAGAATAGGAGGAGGTAGGCAATCCCAGGGGGAGGCACTAGAACCAATCTCATTGTTTCAGAGCTGGCTGGATGTTGGAAGGTAGCTGAGCAGGTAACTGAAAGAAGGGCTGAAAAGAGCTGGTACCTTGAAGTGCAGGAGCTGGAACAAGATTTGCACTTCTGCTACTATTCCTGGCCGACTGGGGAGGTGTGCCTCCACTCAGCTCATCTTGCCCCTCCCCTGCAGTCAGAACAGAATTGGGGCATAGAGCTGGACTACACATCTCCCTAAAAGACTTTGAGAGACAATGGGAAGGGCATTGTTCTAGGTTAGTTGCTCTTACTGGCAAATGGGTAGAAGGTTCTAACATCTTTAGAGGTGGTGAGCACACTAGTTATCTTCAATGACATTTGCTAGACACCTATAGTAAGGTCTCACACTCCTGACCATCCAGGATCCCCCTAACCTACATTAAAATCAGTGCTTGTTTTGAGAAAGGCAAGCAAGTTGGGTCCTAAGGAGGAGTGTGCTTTATATATCAAAATGACCCCAAAAATGTCTCCATGGGAAACTTTTCAAAAATAAATGTTGGCTTACCTTCAATGTTTTTCAACTACTTTTTTAAAATAAAAATTATACTTTCAATAACACAGTCAGAGCTTCTCACTTAGAGGAAACAATGTCCAGACTTGCAGTGAAGACTCAAGAAATATTAGCTCAGCAGTTCTTTAGCCTTGCTAGGGAATTTAAATTTTAGGACTCCTAACATAAAGTATTTCATTCAAAATAAGAAGTTAGATTAACTTGACAACACAACTAAATCATATAATAATTTACTCTAAGGGTTTTTACAAAATACTTTATGAAAATTATACATACATAGGAAGTACAGTTTACATTCTAATTAAAACTTTGTTGCAAAGCTTGTCTGTGAGCACTCACATGCTAATTTCATATAGTAGAGTTATAGGAAAAACAGAATCATATATGTAAGGTTTTGGTTTTGTTTTTTTACAGTCTATTGGAAAATACAGGCTTGAGATCTTAGGAGAAAATTAAGCCAAAAGCTGAATTCCACCTATGAGCCAGTGGGTGGCACCAAATCATATCTGAGACTTTGACGCTGGGAAAGCGGAAAGCACTTTCAAAGGCAGAAATACATGCGGTAGATTCAGTCCTATGGCCCTAACCCAGAATTCCATATTTTGATAGAGATTACAAAGTAAATAGTTTTCTTATGGTCAAATGCTTTATTATCACGAATATTCTGCCTTTCCCCCTCCTTCTAAGTGTATTTTTCTGTCCCTCTTTTCCAAAAACTACATATTTTCAGTTCCTGCGAGGATCTTCAACCACTGAGTAGCAAGCCCTCCTAACTGCAGCATGGCATGTGGTGTGAAACACAGGATGACAAACTAGAATACCTTGCTGGTTAAAAGCACCCAACATTTAATCTCTTTGACGGCTTTTTCTCTGAAGCAGCATCAACCGTTTGATTTTCCTAGCTTTCTCAAATATCTCCTTTAATGTTGAAGTCACAAATAAGTTACATACTTGATTCTTACTTAAATCTCGGGGGGCTTATAACGAAAGAAGCTTATGCAGGTTGACTTTAACATGCTGTGTAGCCTCCGTTAGTGGCAAGGGGCAGCAGGTGAGCATCTGTCTACACGGTCAGATTTTCAAGATCTGATTCCACCTGTTTAGTAGTTTTCAGTGGAGGGGCCAGTCGACTTTGGGTTCATTTTGAAATCTTGGCAATTAACAGCATTCTGAGAGGCAGCGTTGCTTCAATCCAAGTGTTGGGGGACTTTACCATCTTTTCCCAGAGAGCAACTTCCTCTGAAGTAGAGTCCATCCAATCCACTTCAGTACCATAGCTTTTACCTGCAAAAGAAAAAAAAAAAAAAAAAAGGAAGCTTTGCAGTTAGAACAGAATAGTTCATTGGGGAAAAAAATGGATCATCCCCTAATTATAATTATCAATGGAAGACAGCGAGGGATAGTTTTAATATCACCAGGAGGGCAGATCTGGGGCTTTCTATAAGAAAGAACTGTTTAATCACCTGAAATGTCCAATAACGGGGCACTCCATAATTGGGACTATTCCCTCTACTCACAGAGTAATAGATTTCTTTTTGTGTTCATAGAAAAGCTGGCTGACAATCTGTCAGGGACAGAGTGGGGTAGTAGGGATAAAGCCTGGCATTGGGTTGGAAGTGACACTAGATGATCTCTAAAGAAGAGTAGTTTGGGGTTTAGTGTCTAACAGACTCAACTTTCAATCTTGGCTCTGATACTTATTAGCTCTGTTACTTCATTTCTTGGAACATCAGTTCCTCTGGGAATAACATTAGTAATTATAGGATTTCTGTGAGGATTAAATGAAATAATATAAATAAAGCACTCAGTACAGTGACTAGTGCCCCATAAATACTATTTACTATGATTATTTAAAGCACACTTTTAGTCACAAAAAGACATAAATGTTTTTTTCAGGGAAGGATAGTAATGAAAGCTTTTCTCTACCTCCCACACACAATAACTTAAGCTCTGTGTGGACAGACACTACATCCTTTTAATCTTCATATCTAGAGCCCTTGGCATACAGCCTGACATTCCTTCACTCGTTCATTTCATTACACTTAACAGAAATAGAGTATCTGTTTTCATTAGGAGGAAGCGAAACAACAAACAGACAAACCTCTACTGTCCCCAGAAGCACTTGGCTCATAGAGAATTAAAAACGTAATAAACATTACCTGTTCCAAAGCCAATCCGAAGACCTCCCAAAAACTGGTTGGTTAATTTGTAATGGTCCCAGACAGTAAGCTCTACACAGGCTTCTGTCAGATCTTCAGGCCTGAACCCATCATACACCATGGTGTGGTTGAAGACAGGACTGGTGGTTTTCCCTACAGCTCTGGTTTTTTGACGACTTTTCCTACTTGTATCTGGAAGGATGATACTACAAAAGGAATCATTATTGTGAAAGCATTTTAATAAGATGGTGAACATTTATGCTTTCAGTGCACTTCAACACAACTACTGAAGATTGGCAGAAGGAAATGGAAGAAAAAAACAGTGTAGAGATTCAGCAGTAGTGGTGGTGGTGGTGATGATGGTGATGTGGTAGTGGTGGTAGCAGTGGTGATGGTGGCAGCCATGATGGTGGTGGTGATGGTGGTAGTGATGGAGGTGGTGGTGGTGGTGGTAGTAGTGATTATGGTGATAATGGTGATGGTGATGGTGATGGTGATGTTGATGGTGGTGGTGGTGGTGGTGATGGTGGTAGGGATGGAAGTGGCGCTGATGGTGGTAGTAGTGATGATGGTGATGATGGTGATGTTGATGGTGGTGGTGGTGATAGTGGTAGGGATGGAAGTGGCGCTGGTGGTGGTAGTAGTGATGATGGTGATAATGGTGATGGTGATGGTGATGTTGATGGTGGTGGTGGTGATGGTGGTAGTGATGGAAGTGGCGCTGGTGGTGGTAGTAGTGATGATGGTGATAATGGTGATGGTGATGTGGATGGTAGTGGTGGTGGTAATGGTGGTGGTGACAGTGGTGGTGGTGGTGATGATTGTGGTGATGGCAGTGGTGGTGGTAGTAGTGATGAATGCAGGAATGGTGGTGGTGATGTTGATGTGTTGATGGCGGTGGTGATAATGGCGGTGATGGTGGTGGTGATGGCAGCAACCTGCTGGAGAGACTGCATTACAGTGGACCAGACTTGCTTTGAATCCTGACTCTGTTACTTATTGGCTGTGTATTGTAGGGGAAGTCACATAATCTCTCAGACACTTGTTTCTTCATCTTTAAAATGAGAATGGTGGGGTGCCTGGGTGGCTCAGTTGGTTAAGCAACTGCCTTCGGCTCAGGTCATGATCCTGGAGTCCCGGGATCAAGTCCCGCATCGGGCTCCCTGCTGAGCAGGGAGTCTGCTTCTCCCTCTGACCCTCCCCCTTTCATGTACTCTATCTCATTCTCTCTCTCAAATAAATAAATAAAATATTAAAAAAAATAAATGAGAATGGTGATGCCTATTTCATATGGTTAACATTAGAATTATATATGAAGTAAACAACTTAGTTTAGTGCTAGTAAATGCTTAATGTGGTAGCAACTTCTTGAGGATTTCTTTAAAATTTGAAAGCATTCCTGATTATCTGTTTTCTGTTTTTAACCTACCACACCTCCTATAAACACAAGAAGGTCTGAGAGTTGTTTCAGAATGAGAGACTCACCTGAGCTGAAAAATCTTACCAGCTGACATCTATGAATAATATTTATAGGGAAAATCACAAATAATGCCTTAAACACTTAAACAGCTAACACTGGGGCGCCTGGGTGGCTCAGTCGGTTGAGCGACTGCCTTCGGCTCAGGTCATGATCCTGGAGTCCCGGGATCGAGTCCCACATTGGGCTCCCTGCTCGGCGGGGAGTCTGCTTCTCCCTCTGACCCTCTTCCCTCTCGTGCTATCTCTCATTCTCTCTCTCTCAAATAAATAAATAAAATCTTAAAAAAAAATCTTAAACAGCTAACACTGGTCTTCTAGAAGAATCTATATAGATAAAATTAGTCAGGGGGAGCTAAGAGATCACACACTAATATCTGTTTAGTTACTACTGACTAGATGCCAGGCATTTATATGTGTAACAGAGAAAAAAAGTTTGCCACTTAGAAACTCAAACTGTCTTAAGCTCCTCTGACATAAACTATTAGTAGGGGTCTGTTTAGCAAGTCATTTTCTACATATTTACAGGATGAGGCAAAAGACCTTTTGCAAACAGTTCACAAAGGTGGGACAAGGTACAGGAGGCAGAATTCTCCCCACTCCACAAAGAAGTCAGGGGTATGGCATTAGGAATTTGATGAGTTTTTTATACTGAATATTATCCTCACCAGCAGATATATCTCCTAGAAAGCATTCCATATCTGAGCACATGGTCCCTGGTTTCATCTGTATATATGCGCTCTTTATGGTTTTAAAACTAAACTAAGCCTTAGGTGTTCATGTCACAGATCCCTCTAGTTCATGTTGCCATTGTCCCAAGTTATGTCATTTCAACCATGAATGATGAGTTTCACCATCACAGATATTGAGACCTAAAAACAATCAGCAAAGGCCAGGCTATGGTAGAACTGAGAGAAGCAGAAGTATCAAAGCTGTTACCATTTAACAAAAGAATTTAGATGGCTGCCCCTTAGCTGTGGTAGATCAAGACATTCCTTCACCCAGATGTGCACTTCTCCCGTTGTAGGAAGCTTTTTACCTGTAATTGGAAAAGGAAAGAAAAGAAAATTTCACTGCTATTCCTCTCTTGGCAATACTACATCCAAAGATGCTAACTTAAAAATGGTCTGGCACAGTGATACTAGCTAGAGCTTGAGGATATGATCCTAATTGGTTAAATCTATAGATTTTTAACTAAATATTCCACAGTCTGGCTGCACTGAGCTCAGAGAATTCTATGAAAATAATTCATATGGGTGCACCTGGGTGCCTCAATTAGTTAAGCATCTGCCTTCGGCTCAGGTCATAATGCCAGGGTCCTGGGTTCGAGCCCCGCATCGGGCTCCCTACTCAGGGCGAGCCTGCTTCTCCCTCTCCCGCTCCCTTCCTTGTGCTCTCTATCAAATAAATAAATAAAATCTTAAAAAAAAAAAGAATAGTAACAATCCAAAGGAAGTGAACTGAGAGATGAAGAGAGAAAGAGGAAAAAAGGAAGTAGGTTTGGGGATATCATTGGAACTCCTATATCATACAGTACTTAAAGCCTGCCTGGGGAATGCCTGGGTGGCTTACTTGGTTAAGCATCTGACTCTTAATTTTGGCTTATGTCATGATCTCAGGGTCATGGCAACGGGCTCTGTGCTCAGCGTGGAGTCTGCTTGAGATTCTCTCTCTCCCTCTACCTCTGCCCCTCCCCCGGCCCGTGTTAGCTTGCTCTCTAAATAAATAAACAAACAAATAAATAAATAAGTCTTTAATTTTTTTTAATTAAAGAAAAAGAAAATAATTCACATTGATTCCAATTACAGAGTACTATATTATTCTTTCTGGGCTTGGCTTGTTTCAAAACAAGTTAAAGATACCAGGTATGTAAATCATCCATTTATAGTTATATTCAAAACATCTTAATGAAATGCATATTCCTTTCAAATATTAATACTAACATCAGTTGCTGTTAATGGGAGGCATTTGAAACATACTGAGTATAAAATAATCAAAATAGGTACTGGTTAAGGTATAGCCACTCTTCTTGTTAATTGTGGTTACATACTTTATGGGAATACTGTATACATACACACAGTAACTAATGTTATGCACAGGGAATACTGAGAAGTTGGCTTAGTCTTCAGTTGTTGGCTAGACTGGGTGCACATGGACAGAGGGCCACTACCATATTTTTCTGAATAGGTTAATCCAGTCAACCAACCAGAATTTAATGAGCATCTACGTTGTGCTTGGGTCTATGCTAGGAATGTCATTGGATATACAAGGAATATAAGAAATCTATGTCCTTGGAAAATGTTTACATTTAAGTTAAAAAGAGTAATTCACGGGGCGCCTGGGTGGCTCAGTTGGTTAAGCGACTGCCTTCAGCTCAGGTCATGATCCTGGAGTCCCGGGATTGAGTCCCACATCGGGCTCCCGGCTCAGTGGGGAGCCTGCTTCTCCCTCTGACCCTATCCCCTCTCATGCTGTTTCTCTCTCTCTCAAATAAATAAATAAAAAATCTTTAAAAAAAAAAAAGAGTAATTCACATAAAAACTATAAAAATGTAATACAGAATGAAATGCCAAGTTATTGTCATAATGTTCTAGATGATGATCTGATCAGTGAGGGCGAAAGAATAAAGCCAGGAAAAGCTTTATGATGGGACTTTAAGATGAGACTTCTTCTCAACCTATCCAAAGACTTGAAGAAGAGGAAGACATTCCAGGGTAGAGAAACTACATGAGCAAAAAGTCAGACAAGGTGGAGCCCATCACAACACCTGGTCCCCTTTGCCCCCACCACCAAGAAATGATAGTGGAGGAAAAGAGATTGGCAGAATTTCTATGCACGTGGACCATAAATGATAGGATACAAATTATATATATTAAGAAAATCTGCCTTTTAGGAAGATCCAGAAGTAACAACAAGGTGGTTTGGCAGCCATATGGGCCTAACAATATGTTTTGCTTGCCTTCCGATTCTTTTTTTTTTTTTAGTTGAATTAAAATGCCTTTCTCCAGTTCAGTCACTGCCCTTACCATCCATTCTTTCTTTCATCCCACGAGTTTCACTGCCTAGTTACTGAAAACATCTGAGTTGCAACCTCTGATTTCTGTCATGATATCATACAGATTCTAAAGGAGAAAAACTTGGGGAACTTCTTGGGAAATGAGAGGGGGCTGGCATTCATTTCTTGCTAGTCTCTTGCTCTTTAACTGGGCTGTAGACCTGAGGCCCTAACATCAAGGATGCAATTAGTAACCTTGAGGGAAAAGCTTTCTACCCTGCTGAGGCCTTGAGAATGGAGAACCAATGAGCTCTAATTTTCTAGGGGCTCTTTATGAATCCTTCTAATTCTCACCTGTGAAGAACACTCGGGTTCCATTCTTACCATAACACTACCAATAGGTCCAAATTCTGAACACGGAAAAGGCCATTCATGTTGTGCAGATACCAACTTTTTGGAAAGTGAGATGAAAATTAAAACAAGACTATAAACTAGAGAATTTTGGAAAATAAGAATTTTTTTTCATGGAAACAGAGGTAGAATGGTAGTTACTGGGGGCTGGATGAAGGACAAGTCAAGGGTATAGTTTAATGGGTACAGAGTTTCAGATATGCAAGATGAAAAATTTCTAGAGTTCTGCTTCATAACAATGTGAATATACTTAATACTACAAATGGTACACTTAAAAATGGCTAAGATGGTAAATTTTATGTTTTGTGTTTTTACCACAATTAAAAAAAAAAGAATTTGTCAACTGTGAATTGACTCATTTGGTCCGTAGAATTACTAAGTTAATAAATTTGCTTAGGGTTTCATATTTGAAAATATCAGAGTCCAAAGAAATCCTTGGAAAGGGAAAGGCTCAGGAAGAGGCATAAATCTGGATGGAAAATCATTACATACCAGGAATTGGCTCTGGGACATACTGGAGAGCTAACTTCATTTCACCTCTGTTTTCTGCCTCAAGGGCAACGGGTGCTGTCTGGAGAATGAAGGACTGTCAGTAGGTGTAAGACACAAATGACTTTATTGTTTGTTGGTTACTCTGTTTTAGGACCATAACTGCCCCAATTCTGCGACTATGTATCACCCATGAGTGCCCTGGATTAAAATTTCCTTCCCCATCAGAGCTAAACTCTTGCCTTTATATCTGGGAAAGCTATATATTGTGTATCTTGAAATAACTTGCTTGGTACCCAGAAAACATCTCAAAGCCTTTAGTCTCAGAGATAGTAGGGAAATCAGAATGGCTTTCTTGGAGAGAGAAGAAATGTTCTGGGATGCTTTGGTTTTTATAAAAACACACATATTTTTTGTTGGTCACCCAGCCAGCGCATAAAACTATTTATTTGTATTATTCTCTTTCTTTGAGCATGAAGAATGTGGGAAAGTAGGGGGAAGAAAAGCCAAACATTACATTTTCAAAGCTGCATTAACCTGATTATTTCAGATCACATAATGTGAGGTCTCTAAGAATAACAAAGACTGGACACTAATTTAAAAATATATGTCTATTCGTTTCGAGTATAAGAGAGATGGCTTTACTTTCAGATTCTGGTCCTTTAGAGCCTTATTGCCAAAGCATGGTTATGCATCAGAAACATAAGGGAAGTTAGTTTAAAATGAAAAGCTCTTGACATCTTCTGAGGAATTCACACCCAGTGAGTCTTGGGTAAGACTAGAAATAAGTGCTTCGGGTGATTTTGATGCAATATTTGGGAACCATTTCTTAAGTGAAAGTGCTATATTATGTAGATACTAAACAATGATTTGTATTGTTGCTATTTATCACTTCTAGCTGGGATCACATCAACCCTCACACTGAGAACAATTAAAAAAACTAGATTGAACAAATTTATTTGAAGGAGCTAAAGAATTATTAATATAGACAGGACTCAAATGGACAAGATCTTTGAGCCTGACATTCTCTGCTTTTCATGTTGATGCATCAGCTGATTTTTAAGTAGTGCCAAACTAGAGCATAAAAGCCTAAATGAAAGAGACTAAGAAGCCTGAACAGGGCTTTTGCCAGTCTTGTGGGGCTGGAGAGACAAAAATTGGAGTCCACAGCCAGCATGGAAGGATAGCCTTAGAAAATACCCTAGAAGGAATTCTTAATCTCAGGAAACAAACTGAGGGTTGCTGGAGTGGTGGGGGGTGGAAGAGATGGGGTGGCTGGGTAATAGACACTGGGGAGGGTATGTGCTATGGTAAGCACTGTGAATTGTGTAAGACTGTTGAATCACAAACCTGTACCTCTGAAACAAATAATATGTTATATGTTAAAAAAAAAAAAAAAAGAAGAAGATGATAGTGGGAAGGGAAGAATGAAGGGGGGAAAATTGGAGGGGGAGACGAACCATGAGAGACTATGGACTCTGAGAAACAAACTGAGGGTTCTAGAGGAGAGGGGTGTGGGGGGATGGGTTAGCCTGGTGGTGGGTATTAAAGGGGGCACGTACTGCATGGAGCACTGGGTGTTATACGCAAACAATGAATCATGGAACACTACATCAACAACTAATGATGTAATGTATGGTGATTAACATAACATAATAATAATAAAAAAAAGAAAATACCCTAGGATCAGTGGTTCTCAAAGTATGGTCCCTATGCCTAGGAACTTGTTGGAAATGCATATTCTCAGGCCCAGATCTTACTGACTCAGAAACCTTGGGAATAGAGCCTGGAAATCTGTGTTTTAATAAGTCCTTCAGGTGAATTGGATGCATGCTAAAATTTGAGAACTACTTTCCTAGGCTTTCACTTGGAACCTCTGAAGGGTCATAGCCTAGGAATACGGGCAAGCAAAACTACATCAGACCACATGAAAACTGAACCCCAGCTTCTAGTCAGTTCATTCCCAGATGAGATTAAGGTAGTCTGTCCCTACTCTGTGTGTAAGAAACAAAAGTAAATCCTCTCAAAGTATCCCTAGGGTTTTTCATATACAATGTGAGGCATGCAATAAAAACTAAATGGGCATACCAGGACAAAGGACCAAATGACCAAACTAAGATAAAAAATTAGATAAAGGAGACTTACAAATGTTTAAGATATTGGGTTTTCAGATATATACTTTAAATAACTTTGATTAATATGTTCATAAAGATAATGTTAAGATAGAGAATTTTAGCAGAGAAGTGGTCTATAAAAAAATCAAATAAAAATATAAATCTGAAAAATATAATATTGAGAACTTGTAAGATGGGTGTTTTAGACATAGCAGATAAGAAAATTAAACTGAAAGATAGTTTAGCGAAAAAGAAAAAGAAAAGAAAATACAGAAAAGAGCATAATAGACATATGGGACAGAGGTGCCTGGGTGGCTCAGTCGGTTAAGCATCCCACTTTTGATTTGGGCTCAGGTCATGATCTCAGGGCCATGAGATCAAGCCCTGTGTTGGGTTCCACACTGAGCGTGGAACCTGCTTAAAATTCTCTCTCTCCTTCTCTCTCTATCCCTCCCTTCCACACTTGTACAGGCTGTCTCTCTCTAAAAATAAAATAAAATAAAAAAGAGAGAGAGACATACGGTACAAAGTAAAAAGACATAATGATCCCAAACTATGGATAACCACTACGAATTAAAATGCAATTATAGTAGCTTTCTCCTATACACCAGGCCCCAAACCAACCAACCAACCAACCAACCAACCAACCAACCAAGTCTGCACGAACCTTTCGCTTTAGAGGGTACCATTTCAATTGTTTATTCTGTTTGTTGTCCCAGTCCCAAGTTTCCAAGTCAAGTTCCACTTCTCCTAGAAAACTATTGCGTTTAAATGTATCCCGATGCCAAACAGAGAGGTTCAGCTTTTGTGTTTTTAAGATTTGCTTTTCGATTTTATACTGCAGATCAAAGAAGGAAATTAAAGTGGTGAATAACACTATTTTATATCAAAGTTATGACATAGAGATGAAGAGAAAAGTCATCTGTGCATATCAGGTTTTCTCATCTGTTAGGTTTCAAGTATCAAAAATATTGCAAAGTCATCTTATTCTAAGTGTCTTGTTTCAAAGAGCTAAATCCATCTTTCACAAAAGCTGATTTTCTTTCTGCTTCTGGAAAAGTAAACCACGGTTCAAATATCATAGCCAGTAATAGCTCTCTAAAAACAAAAGCCAATTATTCATTTTTTTGCTGGATGTTTTTAGTTCAAACTAGATATAACATAAATCCAGTTCAGTCTAAAAATACTAATGAAGTTTAATCCTGTGGTCTGTTTTCTACCTAAGGACAAGGTATTTTTTCTAATAGACTCTATTTTTTAGAGCAGTTTTAGACTTACAGCAAAATTGAGCAGAAAGTACAGAGAATTCCCCATATATCACTTGTCCCCATTTACACACATCTCCCACTATAGATATCCTGCAACGACAAAGTATTTTCCAAAAAAAGATATATTTGTTTTTTCCTGCTTCATATGGTTAAGTGGAAAATATTTGGCATCCTAACAGTTTTTCATCTAAAATGCAGTCAGTCCTAGATTATATATAATCATGGAAGGGATAATAGTACTTCTAATCTAAAAATAATCTCTGTTTGGCTGTATGGTGTACTACTTGAATATCCATTTTGGTTGTAGCAGGCTTGCCTTTCTCTGAGTTTACCATTTAAATTAGCTGGCTTTTCCTGAGTATAGGGTTGAAGTAGCTGACCCAGAAATAGCTAGGGTACTGAGGTATATCATAGTCAAACTGTAATTAAAAAGTGGCTACAGAAAATCCATAAAAAACTGACCCATGAAGGACTGAAAATTAATTTAATTCTGCTTCTTTCCTCAGAGGATAATCAAATAGTGGGACAGACTTTTCAGAAAGGGGAAATGAAGAACACTTCTTATATTTTTAGTTTTACATTATCATGACTAAGGCAGCCTTATGCAGTCTGGGGGAAAAAAGAATACGGGTATTTAAGCCAGGCACACTTTCTATTCATCTGTCCATCCATCTCTCCTTCCAATAAACATTTTTTGAGTATCTATCCAGACACTGGTCAACATTTATGTGTTTAATGTATACTAATCACTTTGCACATATTAACTCTTAATGTTCACAACTACTGAAGTAGAGAGGCAGGTACTATTATTACCTCTCTTGCAGATCTGAAGAACAGAGGTAAGCCATTTGCCCAAAGGCACACAGTTGATAAATGACATGGAGTTGGTCCCTGCCTGCCTGAAACTTACAATTTAATGGGAAAGCAGACAATGAAGCCAGTAGTTAAAAGCCTAATATAAAACAAGGTGCCTGAGGCAGCAGACCCAGGTGGGAACTAAGGAGTTAAGGACAGCCTCTCATGGGAAGAGGCATTTAAGGCTGGAGGAGGTAGCTCATGATAGAATGTGGGAAAGAGTTCTCCAGCTTGATGGAACACCAGGTCCAGCAGTGTGAGAAAATGTGCTTCGTTTCTCCAAAGAACAGAAAACACTCGGGGTGACCTGAACAAAGACTCTGAAAGGGGAAAGATGAGGCTGGAGTTCAGGTTGTGAAGGGACTCTGGTAGCATGGTAAGGTGGACTTGGCTTTAAGGGTAATGGGAATCCTAAAAGATTTTAAGTAGAGAAATAACATGATCAGAATTATACTTCTGGTAGCTCCTTTGCTTACAATGCTCCATGTTTTCAGCGATGTATCTTTGAATCTTTGTTTCTCTAAGCCTCATGTGTGAGGGGCAGATAATACTCCTCCTGGTGGGGTATGTAGGGAGTGAGAGAAGGCCTACAATGTTCACGGTGTATGGTCTCATGCAAAGCAGTTTCTCAGAACATGTTTATCCCTTCCCTTCTTCTCTCTCCATGACTGACTTCATTTGTAGAGATACTACCCAAGAAGACATGGCTATCGACACACAACTCATCATTTAGGATTTTCCTAGACAGACAGTTCATAGATACCCGCAGTATCTCATTATACACAGGATTCAAAGTCTTCTTCACTACAAGTGTTTTCTTCTTGCCCATTTTGCCCTTGTCTGGTAACAAATAGGTCTTTACATATCTAAAAAGAAAAGTAGACAAGAAGGTCATGGAAAATAAAAGTGATGTTTCCATCTCTGCTTTGAAAAATGCATTGGTAATTGACAGAAATAATTATTTCATGACACTGAGAAAAGCAGTTAAGTAATGAATGTTCTCAACAACACCTTTTATACTTAAATTTTTAAACACAGTGCAACAAAATTGGTCATTTTATACTGTTTTGAAAAATTTTAAAGGATATTTCCTGAATCCCTTTCTTCCTTTGGCCTTACCTGACATGTGGGGTCGCAGGGGACAGAACTCTAATGTAATGCTTAATTTTACTGGCTTGTTTCCTATTGAGAAAGGCTTTGGTGCTTGCAGAACTTTTTAAAAAAGTTTTGTTACTGCCTTTTGGAAACAAAAACTGATCTTAGCACACATCTAAGCAAGCCATATTCAATGGGGGGAAAAAAGGGATACCGACCCCAGCTGTTTTGATAATAAAAGCATAAAGGATTGGGCCTATGCTAGCAAAATAATTAAGAATCTGACTTCTGCATAGGGAAAGCAAAGAATACCATTCAACTTTTACAAATAAACTGAAATTCAATTAAATCTGTGATCTAAAAGATGAGCTGGTAATTCCCCCTAAAGTTCTTCTGTAAAATATAATTTAAATTTAGAAACTACTTCATTCTAGAATCTTAACTGTTTCTGCACCACTGAACATTCTGAAGTATGGCCTGACATGTCTCTAATTTTAGAGAAGTTTGAGAATGTCATGGGAAAAGAGTGGGGTTCAAGCCCTCATTCCCCATTTTGCTGTTGACTCTCTGAGTTTATGTAAATAGGTTACTTTTCTTCTCTGGCCCTGGTTTCCTTATCTGTTAAAAGAACGAATGGGACAAGATGGCCTCAAAGGTCGCTTCCACTTGAAACATTTTCTACTTCTCTGACATTTTTATAGTTTACTAAGTTTGGCATGTTTATAGAGTAAATAAAACACCATTTTCCCCCAATTTTTCTTCTCAAACATTTCTTTTTGACACAGTCACACACATAGCCTCCCTTCAGTTACTTTCTTTCCCAACTTCTACAAGATTACGAAGAACTAAGAGAAAACAGGGACTCCAAATTGTACTTACGGGTCTGAACGCTGTTTTTTAACATCCGCTGCTGCTAAGTCTTTACACTGGGCCACAAAGACATGTAACTCCTTCAGTGAGTCCACATAGTCGATTGCAAACTGAATATTTCCTTTCACTTCCAGATTGCCAAAGTCTCCACTGTAAACGCTCATCACGCTGCCGCTCACCTGAGGGCATTGGAAACACGCAGTGTTTGTTTCTGTCTCGTGCATGGATCCAATGCAAAGATCACGAATATAACCTTGGCTTACCATTATTTCTCTAGTTTGCATTTAAAGCAGTTAATAGGGCATAAAGACAGACCAACACAGACAACCTGACATGATATATGACACGACTAGTGTTTTAAAAAAATTGCCTCTAAAAGATACAGATGACAAGTGAAATGCAAAGTTATTTAGATGCTGGCTCATTTCAAAGCAGGGGGATTTTATGGTAGGGGGCATTCAGAGTTCCATTTTTAGGCATGCTTAGTATTTAAGATGTTAAAGAAAGAGGATGTGAGAAACCCCAGGCACACAAATCACAGTGACACATTGCTCTATCAAATTTCCAAGGCACTAAAAAGGAATCTTACTATGTTGCCCATCTACTGAATCTAGGAAAATGCTTAGTGGGCCATACGCCTTTAGAGGTCAGGAAGGGTAGGGAATGGATGATTGATGAAGGCAGTTGAAAGCCTTCCCAAGGCCATACATTTAAGGATCATCAGCAGAAATTCAATTTAAACAGATTTTTTTTAAAAGTTTGAAAAATGGGAGGCCAGTAAGAATTTAAGTGCAGCTTTATCATTTGGTTAGCATACCTGGTGAGATAGTGTGTATATCATAGAACTATCTGGATAAGTGTTTGTGGGTATATTTCCATATATATATTTCTACACGCATACTCCATGCTCACAGGTGACCTCACTTTATGAAAGGAGTTCTAGGTAAAGTCAAAGTTTCTCCATCAAACCTGAACAACTACACTTAAGGAGCTTTCTTTTTAAAATCCTGTTCTGAATACTTCTGTAAGGCAAAGAATCACTTCTCCTATTCTAAGTGAATCAGTACTTTTATTCGTCAGGTTTGCTAAAAGAGAGGTACAATTCTATACCTGCAAACAGAAATATAAAACATATCTGATATAGGCAGACTTTACAAAAGTTACCCCATTTTTTGCATGCAAAAACGTAGCAGTTCATCTTGTTGGTAATTTAGGTTTATTTTTGAAGTACTTACATTCAAAAGAAATATTCATTTATAAAGGATATGAACTCTTTTTATGCTTCAAAAAATAAAAACAAAGATTTAGCGAGCCAGAAGCTAATTGTGGGTTAGAGAAAAAGCTCGTGCCCTTGGAATCTGGGAAGTACAATAGGAGGCCACTTTCTAGCAAGCAGGAGCACGGCAGAGCCAGGTTCACAGAAGCAGAGAGCTATTAACACGGAGCCTTTGTTTACATACAGAAGACAGGGGCGTCATGCTGGAGGAGCTGCTAAGATTGGTTAAAGAGCTTGGGCTCTTCTTGGGTCTGCTGAGCTGGTAACTGCCCTCTGAGGCTGTATCTGTTTCTCTGCCATCACTCTACAAAACATCACATAATATACACAAAGTTTAAATTCAGAATGAGTGAAGATCAGCATCTCTATTTAGAAAAACGTGATACCTTGGTATCCCAAGGATCTACGAACATTTCTGAATCGTGCTAATCACCAGGGAACGGGAATCAGGATGAAGTGGGGGGTGGTCTATCGCGGACCTCACCTAAGGAGGACAGCAGTGCTTAGCTACCAGAAGAACAAAGTGATTTGGTTCTTCACCTCCAAGGTGTGCCCAAGGTGCTCCAGAAGGCAGCACTGCTGTGAGCTTTCTTGTCACTCTCTTAACATCATGCATTTATGTAATATGGGGGACTTTATTGATATATATGAGAAATTAACTTTACCCAGACAACAAACGGTCCAAGATTTACTGTCAAAACATAAAATGTCATGCTTAATTCCTTTCATTATTAACGTAGCCTTAACTTCCCTAAAAATTAAATCTTTTGCTGGAGACACTATTAAACTAGAAAAAATAAATGCTAGTTTCATCGTTTAAACTAAAAGTTAGATACACACATATTTTTAAAATTTTAAACCACCTGTTATGTATTTCCATACTGCCATTGTGTTTATCTTTCTACCCAAATTAGATTTTAACACATTTTTGGGAAAAAAAGGGACCAAAGATACTTATTTTAAATATGTCCCAGGAAATATTTACCTGGGTCAAAAAAAAAGTGGCAATAATACATTTTATTATATTTAGAGCTAAAGTTTATTAGATGGTAACTTTAAAAATTCATGATTCAGAATGAGCTCCTTTGGGGGTTAGAGAGTTTATGGAGCAGTTCAGTGGAGTTAGGGAAACACCTTTATGGAGTAGTTAGTACATGCCAAAGTATTCCAGGGCCATGCAATTATGTATCATATAACAGATGCCAATTCTATTGCAGATTAAGGAAGGAGTTAAAGAAAAACAAAATTCATGACTTATATGGATAAGAAAAAAAAATCCTCCCTCAAGGATTAAGAAAACCCACACCACCGGGTGTCCGTTGTCACCCTCTCCCCACGTGCTTACAGCCCATTTCCCTCTATTACAGCGTGCGCTGTGCTCTACCCAGTGTATCAGGTCACTAGTGATTTACTGAAGGATGGGATCCTGTCTTGTGGACCTGGAATGTTGATTTTCACGTAGCAGGCACTCAATGAACATGACTGATGCTAAGCCCTGAAGGGAGAGTGGACGGAGGCACAAGGCCTGGTTTCATGTCCACTTCCTTTAACGTTTGGTCTGACCCACGTGCTTTGAGAGGTAAAATTCTACAGCTTTGTTTGGCATCTCTGATGCACAAACTCAAATGATTTGGACTCTCTTCTATGAGGCAGCACATTAAAACTGATGGAGGAGAAAAATGAAAAACCAGGAACTGGTGTCACTTGCCTCTTAAGTTATTATATAGCTTATTCATATGACCAACCAAGACCAAAGCCTATTTACAAAGGTGTAAAAGCAGGAACTCCATGAGGTTGCCTACTGTTGGCTTCCAACTAATGATTTAGTTTCAAATAATGAGTGATTCTTTTCAAAGGAACTGTAATGTGGGCTGTTAAGCATATGCAAGGGTATATATTTGCAGATACAGTTCATCTAAGGCCTAAGATTAGACAGAGGGGTGCCCGGGAGGTCAGGGAGGAGATACGTAATTTATATGCTGTCTAGAACTTTCCTCACATTTCATCTACTAAGAGAAAGCTTGAGGATAACGCTATTTCACCATCAAAAATCAGACCCAAACTGTAAATAGTAACAGCTAGCATTTACTGGGTATTCACTATGCGTCAGGCACTCTGCCGTATGTTTCCCCCACATTATCTCCCTAACTCCTCACAACCTAATGATGTAGAACTAGGAAACCAGACTCAGGGAAGTTAAGGAACTTACCTGGAGTCACACAACAGATTAGTAGCACAGTCAGCACTAGGAATGACTCCAAGCTCCTAACTACCCTGGTGAGAATATGGAATCTTCTTCTTTCTTTTTTTTTTTTTTTGGCTCTTTAAGTTTTTATTTTAATTCTGGTAGTTAACAGCCAGTGTTATATTAGTTTCAGGTGTACAATATAGTGATTCAACAATTCCATACATCACTCAGTGCTCATCACAAGTGCAATCCAACCCCAACACCCTACTTAACCCATCCCTCCACTCATAACATGGTATCTTAATTAAGTCAAAGGACCTGAGTTAAAGTCCTAGATCTAGGTTTTAGCAGCTGTTGGATTTGGGGAAAGTGATTTAACCTCTCTCAAGCACTTTTCCTCTCTTATAAAATGGAGAAAACAGTACCTACAACATTTAGTTGGTGAGAGTTAGATATCAGAATGAATATTAAGTGTCTGGTATTTACGAAGTACTGAGTGAATAGCAAGATAATAATCCTGTTCTGACCTGAGACAGCATGTATAATGGCTAACCATGATAATCAGATCCAGGCTCCAGTCCTGGTTGGACCCCTTTCTAGCTGAGTGACGTTACTCACCTCTCCCAGTGTTTCCTTATCCGTAATATCTGGTAATAAGAATGGTGCCTGCCTTCCAGGCATGTTGGACAGTTAAATGAGATAATGTATGTCAACTGCCTACATCCAGTAGATATTCTTAAAGTTTGCTGTGTCATTGTCACTTTACTACTTTAATAAATGCTTTCAAACTGTTCATGCTACCTAGACAAAGCTCTCACAAATCAACTCTACTGGAAACTACAGAGTGGTTAGTTCATGCCAACATATTCTGCCAGGATTTCTTATTTTATACCCACTTTTGAAACAAAAATCACATTCCAAAAATCAATGCAACTTGACTTCACCACCAAAATGAGTTACTGTTTGAGTCAAATGAGATATGCCTTGCCTTGTTCCAGGATCAACAACGCTGCTTCTATTGATAGGAAAGGCAGGGGTCAGTCCTGCTGACCTCTTTGGTCTCTGCCACTGCTGAATACAAACACACCAACCTCGGCACAGCAAATCCACCTATTTGGTTCCATTTTTCTGAAGTTACAGAAGACAAACTTGCCTCATCTTGGAGAAATGCTGGAACAGACTTGCTCATCCTTTTGAGTTTGTCAGGGTGGGAAAACGGATTATCAGGCTGTGAAGGCACTGTGGAAACTAAACAGCAGTGTTTCCATTCAAAATTATCCTCACATTATCAGACAAACATAAAACATAAGTTGAAAACACACTTTTCTTCCATCTATGAATGAGATATTTTTGCAAAAAGGTTAACATGCACAGGATAAGATAAGCAACATGCAATTTTCATAAATTATACAGAGAGAACTTGCAAGGGGTTGAACCAATGGAAAAATAACAAAGACTGTTAGTTTTTATTAATCTGAAGCTGGATTTGAATTATATTAAAACATACAGCCATTGTGAATTGGCTTTCACTTATTTTTCACACCAGAGATTTGAACCACAAGATGTGTGATTTATTGGTTCATCTCCCTGGGATGTATTTTTAAAACAAGCTGCAGGCTGAAAAACTATTTCATTGGACAGCAAGGATCTCCGTACACAACTCAATCCTAACGGTGGCCTGCTACTGAGTGTCTAAGGGAAGGCTTGTTCATTCAGTGACTGTGGGGATTGTGGGGCTGTTTCTCACTCAGAATTATGAAAGACTATGAGTTCAAACTAATTATTTTTTGAAAACAAATTATTTAGATACTTTTCTGATCGAAAAGTATCAGACACCTTATTTAGACACCTTTCAATACAGTAAGGATATGTGTGGAAGTCACAATGAGATGATGAATTCTCTTCCTCATTTGTGTAACTCTAGTTAGAAACCTATTTCCTTCTTTATCTAAGAATTGGTGTCGAAGCTTTTCTTACGGTGAATCCGAGATTGCTTACTGAGTGAGTTAATATGTTTCAAGGCCTTTAGAACAGTACCCTGGCACATAGTATGCTCTATATAAGTATGTGCTATAAAGTAAATACTTTCTGATAATCTTTAAATTACCTTTTCAGTGTGATACAAATATACAGACTTGGTTTTTTACCAGTGAAAAAGATACCAGGAAAACAGATAAAAATAAAATTATATTTCTATATATAACTCAAAAGGCTCAAATTCAGCCCTAAGCATTAGCTAAATTCATCTTCAGTTAAAACAAAATTAATGAAGGGAAACTGAAAATTGAACTATAATAACAAAGCTTTGCTTATTCACATGGTAGTTCTCATCTAGCCTTTGGCTCACAAATGTATCAAAATACATTTACAGTGACTCACGAGATGATACCTGCTTTAATCACTACCCATTAAACAATAATGTGTATGTGGGTATAGTTGGGTGACTTACACTGCAGTAGTATAAGGTTAGATCCCAGGAGGACACAGGAGAGCCCAATGAGTACGCAAAAACTTTCTATCATAATACTGCTCCCTATTATTTTCAAAATTTATATCTGCTACTCAAATGTAGTCAGTTTTACATTTATTAGGATTTGGTAATTTATGTTTTGATCATATATTTCAATTTTGTTTTGTGATAAGAATACATTCTTTGCTAGAGAAAAAAAATAATCCCCCCAGCCCATACATTAAGAGTCATCTTGGAAAATACCATAAAAAAAGAGAGAAATTACTTCATCCAGAATTCAGCACATGATGAGCCTATTTGGCTTGACCTAACAAAGCTAGGTCATGAATAAAGACACAGATACATTGGCATATATGTCCATGTCTATCCTTTGTTTTCACTCCTCGGGCTAAATGAAAAACATAACAAGCTAAAACAAGATGACCAAACTTAAGTATCTGCCAGTTCAAAAGCAGCTGGAGAAACCTCTTTACGCAACACCCCTGAGGGACAGAAGTCTTGGTTCCTCTGCAGCAGCTGGACAGAGAACATGCATCAGGGGCCAACACCTGGATTGTCTTTTTGCTTAGGTACTTCTTAAGAATTGGTCAGGTCATGTGCCAAAGCTCAGCACCTTCATCTCTGGCAGGTGGACCTCATGAGCCAAGTTTCAGATTTCAAACTAGATGTCACGGCCCTCTAGTGTCAGCACTTTTTTTCTTTATCACATGGCTCCTTCATTTAGCTGCTCTTCTCATTAAGACTTATTAGCACATCCAGACTATTGGGAAACTGTTAATAAAAATCTTGTGCTCTCCTAAGGGCAGACATGTGTATCATTATCTTCATACCTCCAGCGCCTAGCATTATGCAACTGGCTGAAACGGGGAAGCTAAGAAGACACACATGCACACCTCAGGCTTTGCTAGGCCCCACAGACACCTTTTTAATGTGCTATTTGTCCTCGAGACAGTAGTCAGAGTTAAGTACAGCAATCTTAAGATTGAACAGAAAAGAGTAAACAATCATTATCTTCGATTGGTGGTGGACATTAATTAGCAGATGGACATTAGCCACCACAAATATGCACTTATTTCTTAAGATTCAGATGTTCGCTTGCTTTATATATTGAATATATACTGAGTCCAGGTTTGAACCTCAGAGCTTAAACCCTGGACATAATAAAATTTGCTTCCATAGGTATGTAGAGAGGCATATACAACCATAATGCATACTAACTGTAAAAGTACAATTCTTTCTTAGGTCCAAATAAATTATAAATTATTTCACATCTACCGTCTTGTGTAAAGGCCACAAGAGATCCAATACTCAAGACCAAACTGCAACATAAAGCCAAGTGATAACAGAAGGTGCCAACTTCATTCTAAGAAAAGATTTAAAGAGCAGAGAGACTTATAGAAGTATAATACTCAGCACTAACATACATATATATTTATATATACTACATAAACCTGTCTACATAAAAATTTTTAAAATATGTAACTCTCCCCCAGCGGAAGCACAAATTAATCTTTCAACACTGGCAGCAGTAAAATGTTTTTAATAAAACCCCTGTCAGAATGAAATAGTTTTGTAAGCTGCAAGAGTTTTAGTACTAATAACAAATACTGTGTGATTAATAGTGTTAGTTATTTCAGTATATTTAACACCATGTAAAGTGGCAACATTTAGTCATTTGTGAGAAAGATCCTGCTACTCACTTCCTGGTATGCATTCATTTGTATCTGGTTCCTGATCTGCTTTTTGATCTACTCAGAAGAGCAACATTGAAAATAAATACCGTTTTACAAGAAGGATTAAAGAGACATGAAAGTAAAGCTCACATGTCAGTTGCACAACAGAGACTGCAGAATATATCTGACAGGTTTTCAGCTTGCTTTTATCCATTCCCCAGATTGACTCTTCATTAGCCACTTTAGGGGTCTCCTATTCAACTAAAAATCCAACATCCAGGATAGGAGATATTTTGCATCTTTCTGCTAAGTCACTGAGCCACACATGGCTTGGCAGATGGAAGGAGCACTGAACTAGGAGTAATGAAGCCGAGCTTCTAGTTGCCACCTCCCCCCACTGACCAACTAGCTACAGGATCTTGGATAAGTCACCTCATTTCTCTGAGCTTTTCTTATCTGTAAATGAAAATGAAAATCCCTGCCCCGCCTAATTCCACGAAATTGTTGCAAGCATAGAATGAGAAAGACAAAACTATGACACAAAAGTAGGGAATGACCTTTGAGGAGTTCTGATGCTATATTTTATGGGGAAAGCTCAGTTAATATACATTTTTATTATTATAATAAAGGCAATTTAGAAAACATAATCCCAGTGTACAAATATAAATTACACATTTGCATAAATGCTGAACTATAAAAATCAGACTCATTTCCATCCCTTCCCCCACCAAGGCACTATTACCCTGTATATTTTATAACTGAACCACGTAATACTCAATCCACTGACAAACTTCATGATCTTCTGGTTCCTTAATATTCAGAACCAGTTAATTTTACCTCAGTCTATATTTAGCTATTTAAATGAGCCGAGGCAGGATCCTGACTCTGGTTCTGGGACTCGTCCCTTTGAAGTTAAAGCTTTACCAGCTATGCCCAGAGAGCTCCAAATGCTGAGACATGAGACAAATACAGGAATAACTTAACCCAGGAACCCACCCGACGCTTCCTGCCCTCACAAGGAGTTCTGCAAGTCAGAGTAGCAAAAATCAGCTCATACCCATAGAAATACAATATCCTATTTATAGAAACCCTCACTTCCCAAGGGTCTCTGACGCGATCCTCACAACGGTATTACCAGCAGAAGCCTTGAGAATACAAACAGTATTAAATGCACCAAGTCAGAACCGTTTTATAATAACTTAGGCACCATTCATCACATAGTGGCAAATGACGTTCTTCTATTTATCCAACAGCTGCATCCCAGTGACTGCCCAAACCACCCAGAACCTAACACACAGACAGACATGCAAATACATAAAGATATTTACCATCTTCAGCACTACGTACTAATTCTTCTTGCAGATTATCTACTTTTGCTTGATCTGTTCAGGAGAAATTAACAAATGGTTAACACGACTGACCCTTGGTGAGAGAGAACAATGAGACTGTCCCTGGAAACCCCTGGAGTTGGAAGCAATTAGTCAAGATGCAGTGAGGGGTGCAACCAAGATGTCTTCCCCAAAATACTTTCTCTTTAGATTAGCTACTTGAAGCAGTGCCATAGCGGGAGCTCCCATTTCAGCCCCGATGCAGCTTACATCAGCACACTGCTGCACACGAACTCCCCAGGGTTAGAGGGTTAGCTAAGAGCAAGCAATCGGCCAGCAGCAGGAGAAAACACAGGGCGGCAACAGCCTCTCTATTCTTCTGGAAAGGGTAAGATGCTAGCCATGACTAACACCTTCTCAAACCCATGGTCATTAACAAATATTTCTGTGCATGCATCATCATTTGTGTATGCCTCTGGGAGCCTTGCTTGGGAAGTCAACTGAAGAGATGTAACTGGGGACCAGCTGCTAAGTGGAATCTTGGCAGGCTAGTGTGAGAGTGGGTATCGGTATTTGGAAGGGAGCGTGCAGGAATACCCGTCAGCTGATGGTGATTTTTTTTTTTTTTTAACCCTGCACATTCCTGAGTATTTTAAAGCTGCACCATGGAAATAGCCCTATGCTTCACAGGCAAGAGGTTTGCCAAACTGGACAATTGTCGCTGAGTTTGTTTTTTTTTTTTCTTCAGGACCCATCACCAACATCAGGAAGAACAATTAGTGCGGTCCAACAAAGGACGGGACTCACTTTCTGTGGGAGCATTCAGGCAGATGTGGGGAGGGGGGTTGGCCACCTGTTGAGGAGGCTTTATAGGGAATTCCTGCATTGGGGGGGTATTTAAAATGAGTGACCTTCAAGGTCACTTCCAACCCTGAGATTCCAAGATCTCTGGTAGGGATTGAACTGTATATTCCAAAATGAGAATACTATTCCCAGAGCCTTGAGAATGTCTGATTCTTAGGATTTAATGGAGTGGCTTTTCCCTTTTCCTTTTTAAATTCTGACTTTTTAGTCTCAATTGAAGATGCCTAAAGCATATTCTAAACATGACAATGTTCAACTTTCAAGCATATGAGTTTGGCAGTGGTTAACTTCCATTCAATAACTTTTCTCATGACCCTCTGTACTCCCAGGGGTGCCTCTTAGCTTAAAAACAATTAAGAGCAAACCCCCTAGAAGTCAGGATTTCTAAGTCCACTTGTTTGGCTCACAAGTCTATATAGACTATATATAGACTTGTGAGCTCTCGCTCTCATATATATATTATATATATATATATAATGTTAGCACTCAAGAAGTCCTTCACCAATTAAAGCATGGGGGGAACAGTGTGCCTAAAGTGTTACAGGCCAGGTAGTTTTTGGGCTAATAGTTCCAGTATCCAAAGAAATGTGTGAAAAGAAGGGATAAAAGAGAAAGGACAGTCCTTGAAGCTAGGGACCAACTCATCTCCATATCATGCAAAATTCATCAGACATCCAACACTGTCGTATATAACACGGTCACTTCATAAATGCTCTTGATAGTAGTCTGTTGATTCGGATACACAGCTCTGCTGCATGACACTAAACGAGGTACTTTACCTCTCTGAGCTTCATTTGCCTCATCTGTAAAATGGGAATAACCATCCTCTCTTGCAGGGTTCCATATGCCAATTAGATGAAATGCTGCATGTGAAATGCTTAGCCACATCTTGGCACCCAGTGCTCAATAAATGTTAGCTATTCTTACTAGAACCTCCAGTTACCCCAATCTTTTAAAACTCACTGGACTTGAAATAAACACTCAAACTGGGATTCTTCAATTCAGGGAAACCTAGTGTTTTAGTAACCAAAACTCATGCACGATTTTAAAAGTTCCAGTCCATTTAAGATGAACTTCTTCTGGTCACTTTGGAAAGGTTATTGTCATCTGTTAACCCCCCGCTTTAGGGGCTTCAGTGCACAATAGCATGCAGTGAGGCCCCAGAAAAGCACATGAGCATTTTTAAGCTTAGACGGGCGGTGGGGCGGGGGGCAGGGTATGAAGAGTGGGGCAACCTTTATTCTCACTTGGTGAATCTGATGAAATGTCTTCTAGACTTTTGGAAGGCATTTTCCTAGCAGCACTCCTTTCCAAAGTTTTCAAGACAGGACTGGGTTCTTCTTCTGAACCTGTTACGAGACACAATTGATGAACACTGCACAATACAAAAAAGATCCAAAAATCCTAACTCTTAACCAATGGACATTGGTATCATAGGTTGAGAGGTGGCATTATGTCAGAAGCCTCTATAGTTTTATTTACTCCATGAAGCACTTCTCAGAAAAAAGTAAAAATTCTCCACTCTTCATATGTCCTTTAAAAACCATTTCCCTGGTCAAGAAACATTTGCAAGCATAAATCATAAAGGAACAAGATAACCACATAAATAGAAAAGTGATCTCTTAGTCGTCTACACCTCTATTTTAGGCACATGATTTGTTCTGTGCCAGACTTTGAATCTTTCCACTTCACTTCTAGCTTTTGAAGACAACCACAAAGTGGTTTTAGGAGCATTAAAACAATTAGCCGAAAACCATGGAAGGCAGGATTCAGATGTTTAACATCTGTGTATAATCAGGTACACAGATGGGCGAATTCTCCAGATCAACGGACTGTAGGCTTTTGGGGATTCATGAGCTAGTAAAATTTCCAACAAAATGTTGGGAAATGACATGAGGTAGTCAACTTTTTATTTTATTAAGTCATTTTAAAGTGTATGTGGGGGGGGGCTCTATCATGTACTAATAACTTATTTTTTTAAAAAGGCATGTTAGAAAAAAAAAAGGTCATGTTAGGACCAAAAGAAAAAAAAGGAAAAAGAAAAAGGGCATAACCTCAAAATAAGAACAGTCCTTTAAATTAAATACATCTAACGGTACAAAAAATATATCTCTAGACGGTTCTTAACTTTTTTGACAGTGAAAACTCCATCATGGATTGATTAGCTCTGGTCTGAATATGGTCATTCATCACTGTTGCTTTATTAGTGCCTAGAACAGTGGCTGGCAATAGGCACTTCAAAAATGTTTGCTAGGGGCACCTGGCTGGCTCAGCTGGTATAGCACATGACTCTTGATCTCAGGGTCATGAGTTCAAGCCCCACACTGGGCATGGAGCCTACTTAAAAAAAAAAAAAGTTTGCTAAATCAATGAATGATTCCATTAATGAGCCAATGAATTTGGGAACCACTTCTCTACACAATACTTTCCTGAAATGCATCCCAGTTCTCCCCAATGTTAATTGACCTTCTAGAGCAAATGGATTCTAAGATGAATTACATTTGGGATACTCTGTGTTCAAATTTAAAGGCTTCTTACTACAGATCTTCTTGGAGACTTTAATATGCTAAAAATGTGCATAAATTCCCAGCATTTCCGAAAGTATTTGACCATGGAGACTTTTTTTTTTTTTAAGGAATATACTGAGGTATTGGTTGATTAGGAGCTCAGCTACAAGTCAAACATGTTAGGTTGCTGACCAAAATTGTGGTGCCATTGTAGGCAGGTTCCTCCCCTCTCCAGCCCACCCACACCTGTTTAAAAATAAAAATTTAGGTTAGGGTATATAAAACTACAACTGTACCATTTTATACCTCGTGTTGTCTTCTAACTTTTAAATATCTTCTCTGGGCTCTGTCTGGGTGGTTATTTAACACTGATGATTTCATTTTTAGATAGGTTTTTTGCTGTTCAATCAGTTATGCTGATACACCATAAACAAAGCTATGTACCTTAGGGGCAACGGTCTCCAGAGTGAGTACAAATTTACAAGCTCTCCTATGGGTCAGTCTACCCTCCTCACTCATGGGGTAGTTTAGTAAGTCTCCTTCAGCAAGTTGAACATGCTGACATATACTCCTGCGTATGTCTGGTTTCAGAGACTGGTATTCCACTTTCCTTTTACCAGCAACCTTTGTAGCAGGGGCTTCAACTTGAGTAATAGGATTTAAAGGTGGTTTGTTTGCTCCGTTTTCAAGAAGATGCCCTACCGTTACTTGCAAAGGAAACCAAACCTCACAAGTCATCCACCCAGGAAAGCTTATTCATTCTCATCAATACTGAGGGGAGCTAGAAAATGACAATTTTCTAAACTGTTAGGAGGGTGACCGACACCAGCTGTCGTGTAATTGTGGTTAAAATGTTCCAGCCAGAGAATATCCTTTATCATTTCATTGCTATAATCGGGTAATTGTGCATTCCTATTTGCTTCTGGGTTTCTCTGCTAAAATGCCCATGTTGATCACCATAGCAAACTGAGACAAGGCCTGTAGCTTCCAGCCTGGCTGAAACCAGTACCCCCAAGCCCACTTAGATGAATGTGGTAATGAATTAAGATCTTCATTCACTTAGCCAAGGCAGGAGCCAAAGAAATGCAACAGGCCAGGCAAGGCCCTCATGTGGAATCAGGTGAAGTCATCTGACCAAAGTCATACTCTAGAGAAGGGGGAGATTCTGCAGATAATTGAAAACAAGAGGAAAAGAGTGCCAACAAAACACCACAGCACAAGGTATCTAAGGGAAAGAAAGTTCCAGCCTTGCCCTCTGCTCCTGGTATTTAGCCACTACTGTGGTACAATATTCATCCTAAAAGGGAAATTTGTGCCCATTTGTGTGTGGCACTTTCTTGCCACAAATCTTACTAGAGACTTCTGTGTGGATTGCCAATTAAGAAAGAAATTATTTCCAGGAGGAAAACTAGCTTGAATGTTTCAGAAGTACTTTCTAAACCCAAAAAGTTCTTTAAAAAATACTTTTAAAACCTAAAAATTCTATTGTTAATGAGAATAAAGTCAGATTCTGAAACACTGCCTTGTGGGTAGAACTCTATGTAACTCATTTGATTAAAGAATATAAAAGGAAATGTAGCTTTTTATTAACAAAGCCTAGGTAGAACTGAAGTGATAAGAATTTACCACCATTTCCATGTCATATTAATCCCAATTTTAAAAGCCCTATCATCCTTTACATCAGCATTCCCTAAATCAACTCATTAAACCAATGGGTTAAAAAATTCAGAATGCTCACTGGAGGTTTTTCTCCAGCTTTCTGCATTGGAACTCATGTCGCCACCTGAAAAATCAGAGTCAGAGAAATCTTTTTCTTTTTTCTCTATTCTCTTACATGGTGATGCCAGATTCAATTTGACGTTAATTGTTTCTGTAGCGTTCTCTGTGTTTGTCAGGAGAGGAATGGGTTGCCTATTTCTGGACATACTAATTGCTTTAGGAGCCTCTTCCAAGCCAGGCTCCTGAGGAGCCCCTTCTCGAACCCCTGCAACCTCACTATCACTATCCCTGTCCTCTGCAGGGTATATAGTTTCAGTGATCCCTATTTTATGTTCCACATAGAACTGCAGGGTTCCAGGGATCTCAAGCCCACTTTCAGAACCACGAAGATCTACTGATAAATCAGTCACAGCTTCGTCACCTCCCAACACTTCATCACACTGGTTGACTTGTGATTTGAAAACATTACTCATAAGCTTCATTTCAGAGGCCTCTGAGGCTGTCCAGTCAAAATGGGGTACTGTCCTCAAGAAACTGGCCTGCTCTGACTGGGAAGGCTCCTTCTCAGGCTTTTCTTCCTTCACTGACACCTGGAGCTGGTAAGAAGGAGCTTCAGATGTTTCTCTAAAACGTTTCTCAAAACTAATATCAAAAGCACTCTCAGTGATTAATGGAGGCTCAGACTTTTTTACTATTTCTTTGATTTCCTCAGGATGGAATTCAGAAGCAGCTTGCCTGGACACCTCAGCCCTACCTGTTAACTTTGATGGAGAAAGAGTCCCTGGATCACTTTCATATTTTGAGGAGGGGGTTTCAATTACTTCCTTCAGTAGTTTTTCTAAGCCAGCACTGAATTCTAGGAACTCTGATTTAGGTTGAATAACTGTTTCCCTCACAATTTCTGCCACTTCCTGAGGTAACTCTTTGCCAGGCTGACTAACAGTGGAACCACATGAGCAACAGGTTTGTTCTGATGGAGGTACTCGGGCAGCTAAATAAGATCCAACGTTATGAGTTTTATCAGGCACTACATTGAAAGAATAGAAATCATTTCTGTCTGGCATTGTAATGTCCATTGTAGCCCATGGTGTAGAATTTTGGGGGCTACCTGCTGCCTGTACTCCTTCAGGAAATTCTGCTTGTACTTCTCCAGGAACTACTTCCCTCCCAACTGGATAACAAGCTTCTCTCAGTATCTTTTGTAATACAGCATTTACATCATTCGAGGCAGTTTTAGGAGGAAGAATGACTTTTTCTGCGGTCTCTGAAATTTCCCTTCGTGAAGGTAATGCCTTATCCTGGGGAGCAAGATGAGCATCCCTGGAAGAAGGCATCTCTTGGGGAGAGTTGGCCACATCCCCAAAAGAATCTTTTCTGTAAAGATGGGAAGGTTGACCTGATAGGTGAGAACCTTCTGCGGCCACCTGACATAAGTCGTCTGTGCTTAGTTGGCACTCACCACTTTCAGTTTTCTGGGGGAGAACTGTATTTACCAAAGTTTCGTTCCCCTTTGGAAAAGGAGCTATTATCTCTTTCTGATAGGCTGATGTGCTGCGACTCCATTCTATCCCTTTTCCATAAACTCTACCCTCTTCAGGTTCAGAGTTGATTCTAGTGGTAACAGGTTCCAACACAATTGGCAAGGGACAGGGTGAAGTTCCAGATGCTTCCTTTAGGAGTTTGTCTAGACCAGCAGTCAAAGTGTTCGGCTTAACCTTTAGAGGAGCTACTGTTTTGTCTACATGCTCATTAATGGTCTCCTTATGTCCTTTGTCATCTTCTTCAGTCTCAGCAAAATCTGTATCTTGAGGCCATCTTTTATTTCCAGAAATATCTGGTTCAGACATTTGTTTTCCATGAACTTTTCCACCCAAAGGAGGCATGGCTAGTGATGAAGCTTCTGAAAGTAGCTTCTGTAAGCTGTCATTAAAAGTGTCTTTGTAGTCTTTAGACAAAACACTTGTTTTAACTATGGATTCTTGAATCTCTTGGTCTGAGTAATCCTTTTCTTCCTCGAACACTGGCGTAACAAACCATTTCGTATTCTTTTCCACATTTTCCTTTGATGACTCATTTCCTGGCAAATGATGAGTAGACTTTCTGGATGGTCCCAATGGAAATGTGGTTTCATCTGATAACACCTGGTATGTGCACTTTGAATTTGATTTCTCTATTTTCTCTCTTACCAGAATTTTTTTTTTACCTGGAAGTATCCCTATTTCATGGGTATTCTTTCCTGATGATTTAATGTCACTGAATTCTTTGTGTTTCTGGCTATTAAAAGGCACAAAATATTTTTGACTTATTGTGTTAGTATTCTTCTCAACATTTTCTTGACTGTTTGGATTGGCTCCTAAGTCCCAAAACTTTCTCAAATTCTCAAATTGAGAGTGATTATAGACCTGTTCTGTATTGGATTCATCCATTCTTTCTTTTAGGGACTTAACTTTAAAGTTGGGATTTGATTCACTGATTAGAGATTTGTCTTTCTCCAAAGGAGTATGCGTTCCACTCCCAATATTTGAAGGATGTTGCCCAGCCGGTAAAGTAATATCCTTTTCATAATGCCAACTCTCTGCCACTGGCAATCTTTTTATAGGCTCATTTATCTTATTCTGAAAGGGAGACACTTCACCTGATTGGTCAACTGAAGGATAATTTTTGGATGGACCGGATATCTGGGGCCTGGTCTCTTTAGGTTTATTCGAGGAATAAAAACTGGAGAGATGGGCTGTGTGGCCATTCTCATCTAGGACCACTTGTTTGCTAGTGACTTGATTATATTCACACTGGCCTGTAGATAAACTGTCCATGGACTTCACAGGCTGATAAGCTTTAGCCAAGTGTTGCCCTTGACTGCATGACAATGTGGGTTCTTTATGAGTTAACTTAGCAGCAGCTTTCTCACCTTCCCAGAAAGATATTCTTTCACTTACTCTTTTGTATTTCTCTCTTTGCACTTGGTTCTTGGGAATCTCACCAGCTTCTTGTAACTGGACCTCAGGTTTCTTCCAAGATTTGTTTTTGGTAGCCCCGTGTAGTGACTCAATATTCTCTGGCTCTAAAGAAGCTTTCAGGATGTATGGATCTCCTCCTTTGCTCTCTCTCTCTGCCTTCATGTTCTCTTTCAAACTTGTTTTTTTGACAAGTATTGAAGAGTCAAAATTCACTTCTGAGTTTCCTCTATTTTTTTCATAAACATGAAGCTTAGGCTCTTCTTCATCTAAGCTGCCAACATCCTTAATGTTGCATGGAACTTGGTCTTCTGCATCAGGTCCTTTGAGAGCACTGTAGGAATAGTAACTGATTGGGGTAAGTACTCGATTTCCTTCTCCTCTGTTTTTTGAAACTTGGCTAGAGTCCATAGTTTTACTCCCTTGATTTGGGCCATAGATTTCACATGGTTGAAATATGGCTGGACCTTCCTTGCCTTGTTGGGACAAATTAATGGATTTGGGTTTGATATTCACATTATTATTTTGGCAAGTCTTAGAAGGCAGTGTATTTCCCTTTCCCTGGAACATTGAATCAGATTCCATAGGCATCAATTTAACTTTGGTGGGTAACAGAGCCTTTGAGCCATTTTCTTTTAGAATGGTGTCATCTCTCACCAAGGCAGTAGCAACTGGTGATTCTGAGTCTGTTTCTTCTTTCAGCTCCATTCTTTGGGGATGTTGGAGAGGTGACTTATTGTCTTCTGAATGAGAACTTCGATTAAACCAGTCTAGGACTTTAGATATGGAATTGTCAGTTGTCTTCCTTATCTCAGTGGCAAATGGACCAGAGTGTGAGGACGTCCTAGCTTTTAGGGCCTTGAGAAGAGGGGGCTTACCTTGCTGACAGTCTCTAGAACTGTGATCTGGCACCTGAGATGGCTCAGGCTCAACACAAGACAGTCCATCTGCAACACAGAAATGCTTTTCTAAATAAGGAAAGAGAATGCTTAAAGAATTATTATTCAATCACTCACATTATCTTTTAAAGAGGCACTTTGTATTTATACTTTCCACACCACTAGCTGTTTCTATCAGCATTTTTCAGGATATTAATTAATTATATCCTAATTAAGATATTCTACCAGAGTTGCTCTGACAGTAAAGGAAGGTAAATGTAGATGCCTGAGGTATGGGGTATAGAGCCAGTTGAAAAATTCCTTTGACGTCTGTGATTTATTCTGAAAATTCATATGGGGGTGCCTGGTTGGCTTGGTCAGTAGAGCATGCAAGTCTTGATCTCAGGGTCATGAGTTCAAACCCCACATGGGGTGTAAGCTTACTTAAAAAAAACTCATGTGGATTTTATATTCTGATCCATGTTACATTTTTTTTTAAAGATTTTATTTGAGAGAGAGAACGCACATGCATGTGTGCAATAATGGGAAGACGGACAGAGGGAAAGGGAGAGAGAATTCCAAGCAGACTCCCCACTGAGCATGGAGCCCAACATGGGACTGAATCTCATGAGTCTGAAATTATGACCTCAGCAGAAACCAAGAGTTGGATGCTTAACCGACTGAGCCACCCAGGTGCCTGGGATCCATGTTACATTTTCAATATTACTTTTCTTCTACTCTCAAATCTATGCATAAAACTTGACACTGTAGGAAGATGTACCATGTTGATTTTATGACTCCACCCATCCACTGGCATACTTCTGAACACTAGAGGTGGCTTATACCGAGTTTGAGGAACAAAGACCAAGGAGAATTTCAGGAGTTGGGAAAACAACTTTCTGGAGCTCCCTCCAGAATATCAGAATGGTACAATGAGGATATTTGTATTCCTGGGCCTTCCTCTTGATAGATTAAACCAGAATCTTGGAAGAGGGGCCCAGGAATCTTTACTAACAGCTATCCTAGAGATTGTTCCGCATACTGGAGTTTGAGGATCATGATCTCAAGAGGCTCCTCTGTTATCCCCTATTTCCCTTCTACAGTTTGTGAGTTTCTAAGTAGTTTCTGTGAGCCAAATAAATGAAACAAGACTGATGCAGAATGTGATCGTCACCCGTTCCCTGATGTTGGCTGACCAATGGCTAAGATGCTAGAGAAGGTTATTTAAGCTCCAAGCTATCACGAAAGCAGAGAGAATCCTTTCTGAGCCTTAATCAAAGGGCACATGGGACACTTAGATAAGGGAGCTCAGGCACCCATCCCTTTAGTTAACACCCAGGTGTTTCAGCATTCCTCCCTCTTCCTTACAAATGCTAAGCCATGCAGTGCATGTTCCTGAAAATTAAGTCAGCTGAACTTTTATGAAGTCAGCTACATTTCAAATGCACTAGAGGACATACCAGTTAATAAAATTCTACCTTTAATTTTAATCATCGACTCTGGCTAAGTGTGAAAACAGCAAAGTGTTATACAATAATGGGCACGTGGCAGATCTTGGTTTCCTTAACTACACATTGTACTATTGAATATATGTCAATAATTGTGAAGTTCTTTTGAGAAATCTTGAAGAATTCTGTGTTCATTTGTTTAACAGAAGACAATGATGAAAAAATGCTTATAACATACTATTAGTAAAAAAAAAAAAGAATTCTGGCAGTACAAACATAATTTAAGATTATATTCATGCTTGAAAATTATTGAAAGGCTCTACAATTAAATGTCAGCAATACTGTAGTTAGTGCTGGATGATGACATCACAGATGGTATTTGTTTTATCCTGTGTGCATTTCTTCTTTTCAAATGTTTTACAACAAAAGTGTATTACTTTTGGGGCGCCTGGGTGGCCCAGTCGTTAGGCGTCTGCCTTTGGCTCAGGTCATGATCCCAGGGTCCTGAGATCAAGCCCCACATCGGGCTCCCTGCTCTGCGGGAAGCCTGTGTCTCCCTCTCCCACTCCCCCTGCTTGTGTTCCCTCTCTCGCTGTGTCTTTCTCTGCCAAATAAATAAATAAAATCTTTTTTTTTTTAAAAAAGTGTATTACTTTTAAAATAAGAACAGTTATTTTAAAGATTTGATGCCAGGCAGTGTTCCATCTTATCTGTATTTTGCAGTGTAGTAATGAATGTGATACTGACTGTCCTGAAAGTCAGAGCTAAAGTCAAACCCTTATAATTCACATACTTTGCATTTACCATTTCTGGGGGCCTGGTTTTCCTTCTATGCTTCATTATTTACTTGTATATATTTTTGTGGTAAGCAGGGCATTAATAAGTAAGCAGAACTTTGTATATAAGCTCTAAAGCTAGGAGGCCTGTCGATCAAAATAGGTGTAGCTGGGGATGCCTGCTTGGCTCAGTCAGTTGAACGTCTACCTTGGGCTCTGGTCGTGATCCTGGGGTCCTGGGATCAAGTCCCTTGTTGGGCTCCCTGCTCAGCAGGCAGTCTGCTTTTCCCTCTGCCCCCGCCCATGCTAAGAGAAAAAAAATCTAAAAAAAAAAAAAATATATATATATATGTAGCTGACGATGTCTTCCTCCCAAATTTCATGGTCAGCTGGGACTTAAAAATCAGAAAGCACAGGGTTGCCTGGGTGGCTCAGGTGGTTAAATTCCCACTCTTGATTTCTGCTCAGGTCATGATCTCAGGGTCATGGGATTGAGCCCCGCATTGGGTTCAGCACTCAGTGGGGAGTCTGCTTGAGATTCTCTCTCTCCCTCTGCCCCCCCCCACTCATGTGCTTGCTCTCCCTCTCTAAAATAAATAAATCTTTAAAAATAAAAATCAGAAAGCACAAATAAGTAGTTAATACAAAATTATAAAGATAGTCCTTAGTCTGTGGGAAAGCAGGTATAGTTTGAAAAACAGGAAAGGTTTACCAAATTTTTTCTGTGAATGATAGTAAAGGAAAATACTATTAAAGAATTTTTTTCATCTTTTGAATAAACATTTAAGTAAGCACCATCCAATTATTTGGCCATGTTTATCAAACTTCAGTAATTTCCTTTAATATGAGGGGTTTTTTTCCATTGAAGAAGCACCTGCTAATTTTTAATTTAAAAAAAATATTCCTGTTCAAATGATTAAAATGTCTGGGGTGCAGGGGGGTTATTGAAAGTGCTTTGCTCTTTAAGAAGTGGATTGATCTGAACAAGTATAAAACTTTAGGGCTGAGCAAAAGTGACCCAGGGTTAACTTAATATTGACTAATAAGGAAGGAGGAGACCAAGTGCATCAGACGCGTGACTGCTGCCACTGTAAATTTTTCTGACTATAAAGAAATTACCATAGGGCTGGAGGAAGACTTAGAGAAGATGGGAGAGAATACACAGCATGATTTTTTCCATTGTTCCTGTTTTTTAAAACATAAGAATTATGAAATAATCGTATAGGTACGGGAAAACAGTGTCTCATCCCTTGAGAGGTGTAAGATCTCCAAGACAGGGCTAGTTAGCTAGGTAGCAGGGAAAAGCAGTATTCTCTTTGCCTCTCAGCTCACAGCAGCTGAAGGAGAAAGTTCCATCAGCACTTTTAACATCTAAGAACAAATGGCTAAGAAAATGAAGGTTTGGGGCATCTGGCTGGCTCAGTCGGTTAAGC